GCGGTTTCAATGTTTTATGCACTCGCCGCGCTGCAGTTTTTTTTTATTTATCGGTTCGGTGAATAAGTGAAAAGCCGTGTGACTTCACCTCTCTGTTACCGGCTAAAATCCGTGGTATTTTTTCTTTTTTTTATCTTTTTAAAGCATGAGATATAAACCTATCAACTCACACATTAGGATATATATTTCGCGACAAGGAAAAATGAAACTTTAAGACAAACTGAGTTTTTCGATGTTAATCAGTAGTATAAGTCAACGATAATAAAATTCGATGTGTATCAGTTTTCCCCGTGATATTTAATATGATAATCAAATCGATATTTTAAATTTGACTCTAAGAATTAAAATTATAATATAATTAATATAAAAAATGACCTGTATGTGTGTAGGTCTTGTTGTATCAGATTTTTTTGATTTCTCAAAATATGCAATATTACATATTCATTCTGTCCAACAATGCGTTTTTTTTTACATAACAAATATATATATTCTGAAGAATTGCTTCATCACAACTTTTATACTTTGATATTTTCATTATAATATGCAAATATAATGACATTGTCATGAGATAGCTTGATAAATATTTTACATTTCCGTTCACAGTTGTTGTAACGTTCCCATGCAAGAGAATTATATAATAAAATTGTCATAAAGGCAACTCGTTCTCCAAGATCTTTGACATCTGACAGTGAATAAACTCTAATTTATTTTATATCATGATATATATTTATTACCTCGATTCAATAAATTTATGAATGCAGCATCAGCAAAAGTGAAGAAAAACCTCGAAAACGATCAATTATATGGAAATCTTTTGCACCCGATAATTTTATACATACGTAGCATTATTTTTCAATCTTTTGACACAATACAAATCGCTCGAAAACTAATTAATACAAGTATCATCCATTTATCTGAGACCAAGTTGACGCGAATGAATATATATATTATATGAATTTACAAACGACTTAATTTATTCTAATCAAAGTGTCATGCAATATCGATCTAGATAGATGAAAAAATCACTGCGCATGCAAGGATCGGCGCAGACGCCGACATTGTCGTACATCGGCTGCGATTTAAAAACAGGATGCCCGTACATAAACCGAGAAAGAGACAAACAAACGAGGCTCACATATAGCACGCATTCGCCCTTTCCCGGCCGACGACGTTAGGAAAACGAACGACGCTGGCGGACAAGAGATAGCGGCTCTAGGTAGGTAGGGAGGTACCTACCACCCTTCGTTGTTTCTCGGGACAGTCCCGGGGTGTGGGTTATCCCTTTCCCGCGTTCGTAAAGCAGGAATTTTTACGCGTGATGTATAATGGTCGCAGCGCACTCGGCTCTCTCTCTCTCTCGCCAGTGGTCGACATCGTCAACGGAGGAGATGCCAGACGAGGACGATAAAAGCCATACGAGTTGTATCGATTGTTTTTATCCAAGTTAAAATAGTCGCTCCTATTTCCATCGAGAACATGTCTAACTAGAATAAAATATTCGGGGAATAATTGGAAAGCGCGCGATGAACCATTAACGAATGATCAAATTCGCGGATTCCGTTTCAGGTGTTTCACAAAATTCGATTAGATTAATCGCCGTCAATCGGCATCATCTGTCATTCGGATGTCTCATGATGCTTGCAAAGAACCATGTTTCGAATGATTAATGTAAGACTCGATATACTTGTTTCCCTTCTATTTCGAAATCTTAATCTCCTTCTCCTTCTCTCTCGTTTCAATTTTAAACACAGACGAATTCTCGAGACGTACTTAATGTTTGATTGTTTCTGCAACGTGATCGGGGGTGATGCCTCCGTGGAGGAAAAAAAGGAATATATTTGGCGTGACATAATTGCCCGTCCTTCTTCGACAAGGCCGGTCGTCGACGAACGGTCACGTCGAGGCCGGAAGACGAGAAAGAAGGAGAAATATCATCCAACGCGATATGTTTGCACCGTGGACGGTATATAGGGTAGCGCGCGGAAAGATCTATCTCTCTCAGATAGTCTGGGTTCTCTTTCCCTGTAGTACGAGGGGTGGGTGGCCTTCGCGCACTGAAATGGCAAAACAGAAGACACGGAGGCGCGGAAGCGGGCGGCGAGGGGGTTGGGGGGGAGGTTGGAGGCCGCCGAAGGTAGCGGCGGAGGAGAAGGGTGGCAACGCGGGGGGATAGAGGAGGAGGAGGAGGGCTGGCGAGGTAGCGACGTCACCACGGAAATCAAGAGTAATGCCAACACGAAACTGCACTACCCCTCGCGCACCCTTGCCGACCCCTCCTCGCATCCCGTCTTGCTCTCACACTCCCCTCCCCTTTCCCTCGCCCACGTCTCTGGCACGCCACCCCATCCGTTTCTCCCGGTTCTTTCACCGTCCCTTCGTTTCTCTCACCCCCGGTCTCCCTCTCCCCGGCTCTCTCTCACCCACGAGATCCCTGCCGTCGCGTCCCACGAGTCTGGTGCGCCTTCTCTCCTGCCTCCGCGAGTTACCTCACCGATCTCACCCACCCCCGGGGAATAACCCCCTCGTCGGCGGCTCCCGCGGTGAGCGCCGCGCTGCCGGTGAACCTCGGTGAGACGGAAACGATAGCGGCTCCCACGAGCACGAGCTGCGACTAAGGGCGCGCTGGATTCTGAGAATTCCCCGTCTTTATCCCTTTCGCCCTCTCCCTATTTTTCTTTCCCTCTTTCGCTCTCTGCCGCTTTTCCCGTGACTCCTACAGGCAAGATCCTGTGCTCCCTGCGTCCGCCAGCGGATAACATCTTTGTAAACGTTCGAAAGAAAATATTTACAATTCTTAAGAAGGTGTATTTGATTGATTAAATATGTTGAAATACTGAATTTAAATACTGAATTTTTTTAGCAGAGAAAATCAGCGATAGAGATCCTCCTGTGACTCTATTGTTTATTACTTTCATTTCCCAATCTTATATGTAAATTTAATATACATATGGAATTGTCGAATCCAAATATTTTTAAATATAATTTGCAATTAAATTATGAAAAATTAAAAATTTATTTTAATAGCAAGCATCTTAATCAACAGCTATTTTTGCTTAAAATTTCTGTATATGTATATATATATATATATATATATATATATATATATATATATAACTTTATATCAAGAGAATATAAAAATTTAATTTAATTTTAAAGACTAATTTTTTTTATTATAATATAATATTATTCGATAAAATATAAACTTAATCATCTCAATGAAAAGATGCTTGTATACATAATAAATAAGCTCGTTTTGATTTTGTTAATGAACAGAGATAGCACGTTGGACGATACGACTATGATTCGAAAAACGAGAATGCGGACTGATTTTTCCGTGAAATCCCTCTCACGAAAATGTGGCCATTTGTATGATCGGCTATATCCGTGCAGCTCCCCAGCAGCGCGCAAAACGTCTTTTAATATACACTATATCTTCGAGGGGCTCTCTATGTTTATCCTTACAGCTTTCTCTTCGTACAAGAAGACCGACATTTTGTATTTTGACGAGTTACTTCCCTCACGAATCTCATGATCGTTGGCTATTATTATTGCTATACATTTAGTTGATTCCATTAGAAATTAAATTATTGTTCACTTACGTCAAATTTTTAACAAAAGCTTGCAAGCACGTCTTATGAAATTGTCTAAAATTGTCTTTAACGAAAAATAACTACAAATTATATGTTTTAAACTTTATGTCATTTATATCCATCTGATGCAAACATTAAAAAAAAGAAAAAATATTCCTTGTAAATTATTTTTCCAATTATTATTACAATTATTTTTAGAGCTATTTATTTCTTTATATACTTAGTTCGCTTGTTGATTTTTAACTTATTATATATTCAAGTTTATATACCTTTAAGAAATATACACATATATGTCATACGTAAGACGCTTTTATGACACGAGTTGCACGCTATTATTTAAATTAATTAAATAAGCGAGATATATTATTCGAGCTAAAAGACCGAAAGGACTGAAGGATGCAAATGTATTTCGCATATTCTCGAAAGGTTTCTTTACATTATATTCATACATTTAAAGGAGAATGAGAGGAGCTGGAAGAGAGACCGGAATACTAAAGTAGGCAGACTGCAGAACGAATCTCGTCTGCTTATATTGCAACAGATTAAATTAATTCTGGTAAATTAATTGGTAGTTAAGATGTTTAGCGTTAAGTGAGAGTCTCCTTCTCTTTTCTACTTTTACTGCCTAGCTTTACTTACGCCTGTTTCTGTTCACACAATCTTCGCGTAATCACTTTCTCTCATTTTCGCCTTTCCTTTACAGTTTATTTTATTCCATATTTTTTATGTCTTTGCACGGGATTATAAAGTGACAGATAGTACGGAATCTAATTCTCTAAAATAAGAAAATCAAATTTTATTTTACCAGTAGAATCAGAAAATAAGATAGTGTCTCAAAATATTATTTTACAATTACCCACGATTATAATTATTAAACGACTTAATATTTTAAAGAGCAGACAATTTTTTTCTTAATAATTTGTTTCACGATCAATTAAGCACAGTCTTTATAATAAATACAAATTTTTATTTCTCATATTTCTTTCCAGATAAAATGAATAAAGGACAAGGAATAGGGTTACATAATTTCAGAATTATTTTCCCAAATAATTCTTTTTTTATTAATATATAATTAATTTATATAAATAATATTAACTTAACTTTTATATAAATAATATTAACTCTACTTTTAAATTTCAGCATTGTTAAACGCAATAACTGTTCTTAACGTTTTAAAATCTTTTAATATATAGTAGTTTGCTATATATTTTACTATGATAAATCTTATAATTAATATGCAATAGCTCTTTTGGCAATGCAATGTCCTCCGTTGACGAAAGTTACTACTATCTTCTAAAACCGTACATGATGTAGTTCATTGGATTCTATCGATGTTCGGTATGTTTCTTGCTAGCAATAGCTTGCTTAATCGATAACATACCTTTCCACACCGTCCATGCTTTCTGATTCATGACTTTGTTTTACCGACTATAGAGACAGCAATTTTCGATTCTGTCTGCAGTTACGTTTAAAAGTATTCGTATTATCACGTATTAACATTTTGTAAATAATTTTCGGTTAACTCTGCTCGGATCAACAGCGCCAATCGTTTCAATGCCTGAAAATATACATATAGATATGAATATTACAGTTAATTTTAATATATTGACAAAATTATTTCAATAAAATATTTTATATAAATTTATTCACTGCAAATAGAAATAAATGCTTTATATTTATGAAAGAAAAATAGATCAATAAAATAAGAAAAATAGTAAAATAATTTTTAAATTGTCCATAAATTTAATGACGTGAAAATGTGTAACTTTAATAGTTTTGACTTTTTATTTTGACTAATTAGTAATCATTAATTATACTTTAATTAAAGTATTCTTATTAAAGTACCTTACTATTGTTTAAGTACTATAAATTTTGTTAAAAGTATATACAAATCTTAGGCTTTGATACAATGTGCAATAAATTTTTTAAGAATTTTAAAATATATGCAAATTATTTTTTTTATATAAGTGAAATAAATATATAATATAAATTTAAAGTACCAAATCCATTTCTTCATAGGAAGCCTTGGCGAAACTTGCCCTGATAGCGTTACAAGGTTTCGAATCTTTCATAAATCCAGCTCCTGGTGCCATGATGACACCGTCTGTGATACCTCGCTGCATTATCATTTTCCATGTATTTTTGATTCCTCGTACTTTGATCCATAAGAAGAGTCCACCTTGTGGCACATTAAAGTCTGCCAAGCCTGTAAATTAGTCCATAACTTTTTATTTTTTCAATTATAATTAACACACGCATCCACACAATTATCTATATAAGATATTTCCGTACAAATATAGGCGTAAATTTTTATAACATGTGTGATAGCAAGTTAGTTAGTGCGACAGTAAAGTTTAAGCGGCTTGTGCAAAAGTATTATCTCATTGCTCCGAGTCTTATTCATTAATCGTCTTCACTTACTTTTACTTATGTATTTTTCATAACACATATAAAAAATCAAATACATTTTAAATTTTAATATGTTTAACTTTTAACACATTCTTCATTAGAAAAGAAAACAGGAATATATTTGCAATATAAATTTGAAATGACAGAAATTTTTGTATATAAAATAATAGTCAAATGTATATAAAACATCAGTTGTACCTACCGTTCAAATGTTTACGTGCCAGTATCGAAATAACGTCTCTTCGATTTTTGTAGAAGTACCTTAGACTCGCATAATGCTGCATCAGGCCATCGTATCCCCAGATTTTCAGTAGCTTGTACAGTATGACCTAAAGTCAAGACCTTTGTAACTTAATTTCGCGATAGTAAGCAATCAATGTTTATAATTGTGATAAGAACCGACACGCGCCACTGTCAGTTTGATTAAACGAGGCATACGCCGGCGTAGCACGATGTTTCATCATTCTGGATAATATTATTTACAGTTATGATATTTTTTTTACTTCAATATAATCTTCCCGGTTTTTTTTAAATTTTTACATTCAAGTACACAACATTCGCGCGACGTAATCATATCCATATATATTTCGCTGATACATGTGATTTATCATCAAGACGTCAAAGATTAATAAAATTGTAGCAAAATATGCGTTTACAGATTGTGGAATTAATAATTGATGAAACTAGTTTTATGCGAATAGCGCCAGAATTGTTTTTTATACGCATTATCGATGACAGGGAACATTTTTTGTAGCTCACGAAAGGGTGCATTTCTGCGAAGGGTAAGAAGGGTAGTTCTACCAACCTGGGATAAGGTAGGAGCATGAAGGTGACTGCTCTGCAGGTGAAGCTCCACACTGGCTATCAGCGGAGCTGTCGCGGTCATAAATCCTATTCTGAGACCGCTACTGATCACTTTCGAGAATGAATCCAATCTAATTACTCGACCTTCCGTATCGAGTGATAAGAACGATTTTGGTTCTTCCTGAAAGAGATGTAAATTTTTCTAAAAAATCATGCATTCATCATTTTTCGATCCTCATAGAGAGGATCTCCCCGATAATATCTACTACATAAAAAAGATATCCGATTTATATAAATTATTAAATTTTATATAAAATATATCATTACATATCATAAATTCAAATATTGATAGTAGTCTACGTCAATAATATAATATAATAATGTTAATGAAAGATATGTATAAAGCTATGATAAAAAATGTATCAGCCTTATGACACGTGAACTCATTAATATAATTATGCATTTATAACTCTATGATAAATTAGCTTCCCAGGTGGCACATATTCGTAACCGACTCTTAAAAACGTTTCTAATTGGTGAAAACGTCCACTTGAAAAACGTTAAGAGATAAGAAAAACGTTTAAAATACGTTTAAAACACGTTTTTTTTTTCTTTTACTCGTTAAACATTCATTTTCTCATGGAATTAATAAAAAGTAATGTATTCATACATACTTTCTGTGTTTTTTAAACGTTTTTTTTATCAGAAAAGAAACATATCTCTTAACATTTTTCAAATGGACATTTTAACTAATTAGAAACGTTTTCAAAAGTCGGTTATGAAATATTTCGAAGAAATGTGTAAAACGTTTTTGAAACGATATATGCTACCTGGGACGTTTGTCGATATTTTTCGCAAATGAAATTATTAGACTTACCTTATCATAATGCAGAAAATGATAAGGATCATCATCGATTATCAGAAAGTTGTATTCGCAGGCTATCTGGTAGATCTCTTTTCGTCGTTCCAAAGGTATAATGATGCCAGTAGGATTTGTGCCCGTAGGATTTATATACATTACTTTCGGCATTTTTGCACCAGAAATCTGGCGATTCTTTAGAGTTTCTCTAAATATTTCCGGTATGGGACCATGCTCATCTTGTGGGATCATTATAAACTCCGCTTTGTGAGGTGCTAGCTATGATTAAAATCGATAGCATTCGTAATAACGTCGAAATAATAAATATTACGATTTTTACACGTTGTTTTTTTTATAAAAAATTATTTATCCTGCAAATTATCATTTTTCGCAAAAATAAAAAAATTAAAATGAGGCATACACGCGCGAGATTCTCTATCTCTCTTCTTCTAATAAAAATATATATTTATGTATGCAACTAACCACAATTTCGACGCCAGGATAGAAGAGATCGGGGACTAAAATCGGATCACCAGTACCGATTATAGCCTCTAGAGCCTTGCTAAGCCCGTCCTGAGACCCCGAAACGACGACTATGTCGCGACTCTCCCATAAGGGTGGCGCGTGTGCCCTTCTCTGGAATTCCCTCAGGGCCTAAAATCAATTTGACGTCCGACGTTGTTAGACACATTGTAGCGTCAATTCCCTTATCTCGAAAACGTAAAATTCTGGCTAACGACACGATTTATTACACATAAGACATCAAACCCACACGACACACGTACGCGTGATATAATCAAAACGGCAACTTAATTAATTATTATCGCATTTTTTTAATACTTATGCTTTTATTTTTTATTATTTTTACCGTCATCTGTTTCTCTTTATTTTTCTTCTTAATCAGATTAAATATTATTTAAAAAAATGTGCATTATGGAAGTCTTACATTGTTTTTTATTCTAAAAAATATTCTTTAAGAGATATTTTAATGAAAAAAACATTGAAAGAAAGAGAAAGAAATATTGAAATTATTTTCTACCTGTAGAAGAGGAGGGTAGCCTTGCGTGGGTATATATTGAAGAGCAGCGCCTAATTCGCTTTTCTCAAGAACGAAGGATGAACCGTCGTAGAGTTTAACCGAGATTTCCGTGAATGGAAATGTTTCTTCATTGGGCATTCCCTCTGCCAAGGAAATGGTAGTTTTTGGCGCGGAATACGCTATTTTAGCTAAAACAAATAATTCTCGTTGTCAAACATTTCACAAACAAGATTTTAATTGATTAGAAGAATAATCTGAATAATATTTGTTAGTCAAGTCAAGATATTCCATCAGTGCGAAATATTTATAAACAATTTTATAATTGCACACAAATAAGTTTATTAATTTTGTATAATCTTTTGTATAATCTTTCTTTATAGATATTTTATTATTTCTAATTTTTCCAGATATCAAGAGTAATTAATCCATCGCTGATTAAATATAAATGAAAATAGAATTATCTGTTAGATTTCTTTATATTATTCTTTATATTCATCATTAATATCACGATTAAATTATAATAATAAAAAGTGCTTTTTCTCTTACTTAGCTCCCGTGTTTGGGCAGGTCGTCTGCGTTTGGAGACTTCCGTCTTGAAATAAGAATAATCCATTTTTCTATTAGAGGTTTTACTCTTCAACAGGTTTGTGCAACTTCTGGTTTGATCAGTTGTCGATTATCACGCGCACGAATTCGTATACGTCGCTCTTTGAGAATCCTTTTTGGTGTACAATTACAATTAACTATCGTCAATTGATCGATGATAATTGATTTCAATTATAATAATCCGAAAAATTGATTACAATAATCAAAATATAGATACTTTATACAAGTATGCAGCTTCTTTCAATGTACTGTTATGTACAAAAGCCAAATGAGTTAAAAGTGCACAGAGTTGCTTTCAAAGTGAATGCTTCTGCTATCCCAATCAACACTGACGGCGCTCTTGGCAAAGCCCGCTTTTATATTTTGTGATAACACATTGGTTGCGTCAGATAACATTATATATTCAAAAAGAAATACAATTTATGTGTAGCAAGAAATAACTAATATATTATTTACCGTTTACAATCTATTTGTTATGAATGAACTATTTCTTTCTAGGAATTATATATACTAATTCTTATTGATATATAAACATAATAAACTCCTTTAGATAATGTAGAAGTTCACTAATCAATATGATAAGATTTCTCACACAATCGTATCCAGATGATACTAAAAGGCCAAAAGACATCTTAAAATATATATATATATATATATATATATATATATATATATATATATATATATATTATAGGGATATATTTTATCTAGAATAGGATTACACGAGGAAAGTGCATTAAAAAAATAAATTTTATGAAACATCAGATTAGAAAAGTATCAGGAAATACCAGAATGTATTCATGTATTGTGGAAAACACATAAAAAATATTTCTGAAATTTCCGCATGCAAAATGAAATAAAGAATCGCTTCATTGACAATATTTATAAATAGTTTAAATGTCATACATATATACGTGTGTATGTATGTATATTTATATATTATTCTTAAGTGATATATTAAAAAAAATAAACTAATACACAATAAAAATGTTATTAAATCGTTTCTTTCTTGGCTTTCGTCTATTTGCTCATTGTCTTCCCCGCTCATTTCCTTTCTCAATTTTCTCAATTTTCTGAATGTATAGCAATCATGTTATCGCATTTCATCCAAGTCATCGTATATAATTTTCACGAAGAAATAGCGACTGAAATATCTCGCGTTTTTCTCAAATTTTTTTCGTCATGCGCTTTTGCGTTCCAATTCTGCAACTGTCGTCATCTTTCTGGAGCATTGAACGGGATAGATAAAACGATAATCTCCCAAACACAAATACTTTCGCGGAATTAGTAAATATAAACATACTTGTATCATTACGGAACATATAACATGCATTTTTTTATAACTATATTTCTCGATTAGGATGTCGCAACAAACTGCTGACATCTATTTCTCTGTCCGAATTTCAATCAAAGTAAATGAAAGTAAAGTACGCGAACATAGTATTCCTTTTCTCTTTAATAAAATAAATTTAAGATTATATGAATCTTTTTAGACAATGAGAGAAAGAATTGGATAATAAAATTCTAAAAAATTCTTATAAAATAAATCTTCCAAATTACCTGATTTATATTTAAATTCTTAGCATAGTTTCTTGATACGAAAAATACTAAATAATAACAAACAATCTCAGATGTAACTTTATGCTTATTAAGAGTCAAAAACAAGAATTCTTTTTAAAACAAAGATATATTTGATGAGAATTATGACCTTTTCAAGTATATATAATTTTTTTGAACTTCCGAAATATACACAAACATGATTAGGAAGAAAGAATTACAGGAAGCATAATGTTCCATTTTATCTACATGATTTCCGCCCTTGAAAAGGTGATAGGAAATTGAAAATATCCGGTTATAGTTCTTATCGAAACTACAAGAGTGATATACGAGTTTTTGTTTTTATCGGACAACTTTCTGGATACTACATTTGTGTTAACTATGATGTAATCGAGTCCAATTACATGAATGAGTGATAAAAGCGCGCACTGATAATCTCACGCATTTAAATTTAATAATTGAGGGGGAAAAGTCTTTCTCTCTTATTGCGCATCAAATAATTGCATCGAGGGTTTATTTGCTAACAACCTTACAAAGTCGATGTTTTGCTTGGCTTCGATGATCCTTATCGACATGATGATGAAACTTTCTTGATTCGCGCAAAACATGTAAGTCTCAATAATTGTTATGCTATGTATTTGATAAAATATTGCCTGACATCTTTTTACATTCGTTATCATTAAAAAAAATTCAATTACCTTGAAAAATATTATCGTAAGAAGAGACTTATGTATATTTTTTTTCAATACGAGATATGTATACAAATTTTTAGGAATACATAAGAATATTATTACATATTATTATCAGATCGCTCTTCTTTAATTTATAATTTGATCATTCTTGATATGCTTTTAAACACATATTTATTGTTGATATGTGTATATATATATATATATATATATATATATATATATATAATTTAATAATCGATTTAAATTAATCAGATGCATCATATTGTTTATATTCAATTTTTTTATATTTTTTTATTAAGATACATATTATTTTTATTATTTTCCGTCTCATTCTATAAAAGATTGAAACAAAAGAGCATCGTTAATTTTCTCTGCTTTAATTAATTTATGATATGACGCTGCTGGAAATTTCATACAACAGCTTTGAATTTTTATTAAACTTATAATTAAGTATATATTTTTAAATGCATCATTCGCGATAAATAATATCTCACAGAGGAATCCCCCACTATATTCTTTGTTTATAAATTCCGATTTATGTTAATCTAGCAGTTGAAATTTCATCAGCTCTATTCTGATGCAACAGTCGGCCGGAATTTACTTTGTTACTTTCACTTCGATAGAGCGTATTGACGAGATAATGAAAAAGGTCGTAATGTAAGATGATGAAAACGAAATGTTTCTTGCTTGCATCATGTTCTTTTATTTTGCTGATTATAAAATTGTTAAACTTTTTCTGACACCGTACAATCCAAGCACTTTACATACGTCAGAGGATTATATCATGACACATTACAATTCGCAATTGTAGAAGCAAATATATTAATTTCAAGTAAACAGTAATGCAACTTTAAATGTGTGGAAGCATACGCGCACGTTATAACAGTATTAAATCTTGCAATTAGGAATATATAATATAAATAAAGATAGATAGATAGATAGATTGAGATAGTCCAAAAAATAAATTTCTATTAATATATTTCGATTAATTAAAGAGAATATATTTCTATTAATTAATACAATTTATTAAATATATACACAATTGATGAAACGGGAATCGCATTTCGATTCAATTTAGCATTATTGATATTGTAGTCCGCGATTGCTCTCCTCCCACATGTTTATCATTCACGAGAGCGATGTAACTTATCCGAATCACGGGCGTGCGCCGCGCACAAATGTGGGGATATGCTCACACGCGCGATGCGTGTGTTTGCACGCGTAATCGGTCGTTAATAACTGATATCGGCCAATTGCAAAATGGTTGAAAAGTTCAATAAAATGGCAATACGTCAAACCAGCAGCATCCAGCTCCGGATGACGAAACGGCGTCGAATATTTTGGTACGAGAGATGTGATGATCAAATGGCAGAAATGAAGTGCGTTGAATGCGTGATTGATAATAAATATGTCAGAATCATGAATTATAAAAATCTTACAAAGAAGTTGCGAAAAATCATATCTCTGATATGTTACTCTGGCAATGAGTCGAAAGTAATCTCTTTGGGCAAAATGACTCAATAAAGAAGGTTTATCTTTTTAAAAAATGAATTTTGCCTAATTTTTTTTTTGAAAGAAAATATTATATACTTTGAATCATTACACAAATTTATTTTAAATCAATAATGTTGAACAAGCTGATGGTAATTATTGCTTGTTCTAAATTTAAAATCATACATATCTAAACTGATAAAAAATAGTTGTAACTACAAATATAATTGTTATTATAAATATAGTTATTTTATATAATAATATTAAAGTTAATAAGCGATAATAAGATTAAAGTTTAATTACTATGCACAAAGTTATTATTATCAACATAATAACTAAAAAAATAAAAAATATATATAAGTCTCATACAGTAGTAATAACCATAGAAATCTCAACTATAATTTTTATTATATAACTATTAAATTATTGTTGGTTCCTTTTTTCAGTGTAGTTATACGTACATATTTTTCATGTCTTTTATTAAATTTTTAGAAAACACTTATATTAAATTGCTTACGCAACCCTTTGCATAATAGTCATCTGTTGTTAGGCATGGTTACATTGTTCAGATAACATTAAATTAATTCTTGATCTCTTGATCTCTTGAATATTGTTACAGCTGTTTAAAGTTTTTGTATATTTCGTGTATCGCGGTGCGAGAAAGTCAAAGATCTGTGACCCCAGTAAAAACAAAACGGATTATATTAGATTCCTGACTCGTTGGATCACAATTGCAAATTTGATATAAGATAGCATTGTGTTCTCTCTCTACAAATTTTTTTTAGATATTTTGGATTTTTTAAATTTGATATTTTCATTTTATAAGACTAGAGAATTAATTAAATAAATAATTTAAAACTTGCAAAGTTTGCGCATGCTAAAATAAATGTACACACACACATACATGACGCACGCACGCATGCACGCATATTTATATTAATTTTAATAATTTTTATTCGTTATTTATTTAGTTCATGTTACAAATTTATATGTTTATTATTCTTGAAAACACAGTTTAATTTGAGATTCTGAATATAAGATTTTGGCACGTGATGCACGCGATAAGTTAAATATATGTGAACCGTATATATTTATGTCTTTCGAACTGGTTTAATCGGACGGCGTCCACGATAACAATTTTTCTTGCATCCCGATATGATAATCTTCTTGCTTTTGTTGGACGGAACTTAGCAAGACGTCAGCGCCAAGATAAGTGCCGGAATAATAAGTTTGACTTTTCTTTTTGAGGCGAGACCGTAACAACATCGTCTATCGGGTTATCGTTCACGTTTATTTCGTTCAGCAATCGAGAACCTCAATAGTATAATATTATTTCTTATTATTTGTTAGTATTTATAGTTTGAAATTTTACATAAACAAGCTTGATATTTTTGAGCTGTTTACATTCCGCTCCTTTCAAGATGATTCACAGATAAGATCGTTTACGAAATTTTATTCTGAAAGCGATTAGCTTTTAATTACGTAAAACGAGATAATAATGCGCGCACAAGAATCCCCACCACGTGCGAAATTTGCAGGGAAAAGAATGAAAATTCGCAATCGCGATGTGATTTAAATGAATACTGA